GGGAAGGAAGGAAGGAAGGAAGGAAGGAAGGAAGGAAGGAAGGAAGGAAAACAGACAGACAGACAGACAGAGAGACAGACAGACAGAGGGCCTCAGAGTGCTGCTGCACAGCAGCCTGCCTACCAGAGAGAGCTGAGAACAACTCATGGGCAGAAACTGGAAGGGCAGGAAAACACACCAGACAAGTCCCTCACACAATTACAAAAGAACTACAGGGATGAGAGGCTGGGAGACAGCTCAGCTGGGAAAATGCTTGTTGAGTAAGTCTGATTCCACGCTCACACAGACAAATATGAATGCACAGCCACACACAAACATGTACATACACACATACACTGATGGGGGAAAAGAAAGACCAATGTGGCTAAAGGCCATGGTAACGATAAAGTTGATTAGACAGGGAGAAACCAGGCTGTGTGGTTGCTTCTCATTTAAATTTCACTGCTACTCCTTACCCTGCTGTCAAACTTCAGTATTTTCAGGCATTTTGAAACCATTATTTCTACCTCGGTTTGGTTTGAATAGCCAAATTACTTAATTCTACAAGATCCCCTTAATTCTGTTTACTTTCCAAAAGCTATGTATACATTATTCTAAATGCTAAACAGAAAAAAAAATTTTATGATCCTAAAGTAAGCTTCTAGCTGATTTTAGTGACATGACTCAATGTTTTAAAACGTAGGCCGAAACCATGAGCTATTTTGTTTATCTCTAAAGTTGTTATCTTTCCTTGACCACAGAAAATCCTAAGGGAATGTCCTGACAGGAACCAGTGGCTTTTCCCCTTCACACTAGTGCAGTCTCGAGAAAAGGCAACACGACAGTGGTAATGAACTGTAACAGGAGCTTACTGACATTTCTAAACATGTCTTAGTAGATATTCTAAAAGTAATTTCATACATGAAAGATTTTACATTGGTTTCTTCTAAAACACAATCTGTAAAATTCTACAAGAGAGCCAGGCGATGGTGGTGCACGCCTTTAATCCCAGCACTTGGGAGGCAGAGGCAGGTGGATTTCTGAGTTCGAGGCCAGCCTGGTCTACAGAGTGAGTTCCAGGACAGCCAGGGCTACACAGAGAAACCCTGTCTCGAAAAAACAAAAACAAACAAAGAAACAAACAAAAAACAACAACCCCCCCAAAACAAAAACAAAAAAACAAAGATGTTGCATTATCATACTGGATCAGTTGCCAGAGGCAGATTTCTGAGTTTGAGGCCAGCCTGGTCTACAGAGTGAGTTCCAGGACAGCCAGGGCTACACAGAGAAACCCTGTCTCGAAAAACAAAACAAAAAAAAACAAACAAAAAAAAAAAATTCTACAAGAGAAAACTCTTTTTTTTTATTTTATTTATTTTATGTATGGGAGTACACTGTAACTCTCTACAGACACACCAGAATAGGGTATTGGATCCCACTACAGACGGTTGTAAGCCACCACGTGGTTGCTGGGAATGGAACTCAGGACCTCCAGAAGAGCAGTAAGTACTCTTAACCACTGAGCCATCTCTCCAGCCCCAAGAAAAAATCCTTTATGCCTAAAATACCACAAACAACAATACACACACTAGCATTACACTATGAAGATCTTAGTTGATGTTAGCCAGGCACAACAGCTCCTGCCTAGATTCCCAACACTCAGCAGACTGAAAAAGGAGAACTGATCTGAGTTGGAGATCATCCTGGCCACGTGCAACCCAATCTCCAAAACTAAAACCTAAGCATGATGGCACACACTTTTAACCCTAGCTCCTGGGAGCAGAGGCAGGTCTCAATGAGTTTGAGGCCAGGTCAGTCTACATAGCATGTTCTAGGCCAGCTAAAGCTATATATATATATATATAATGAGGCCCTGTCTCAAAAAAAAAGTTAACCAATGTTGACTGCTATTTTGGGTGGAGAGGGTTCATGAGGACCCACACTTCCATAAGGATCTATAAGTAACTAATGCTTGATAGAGGTAAAGACATTTTCTTTAGTAATATGGCCACTAAAATAACCCATGTGCCTATAAATAGCCACTCACCCCATGCACTTAATGGGCAACCCTAATGAAATTCACTGTGTCATCAGAAAACAAACAAAGGAATCAAGGGGATCAGTAATAGGGAGGGTAAGAGAGGCTAGCAGGAAGGGGACTATGACGACAATACACTATATTCACACAGGACAATGAAGCCAATGAAACTCATTATTATGTATAGTTAATACACGATAATAAAAGGTTTAGTCTAGGCATACAGAATATATCAACTTTAATAGAGACAGAACAAAACATTTTTCAATATAAAAAGCTGCACTGGCATGGTGGATGGTTGGACAGGGAGAACCTGCCTATGACCCCAGTGATCAGGACAGATAACCAAGATCACAAGTCCCAAGCAGTCTGAGCTCTACAAGACCTTGGCACCTTGTCTCAAACACTAAAAAGACAAAAAATGCTCCAACATATAACAAGGACACATGCTCCACTATGTTCATAGCAGCCTTATTTATAATAGCCAGAAGCTGGAAAGAACCCAGATGTCCTTCAACAGAGGATTGGATACATAAAATGTGGTACATTTATATATTAGACCATTACTCAGCTATTAAAAACAATGAATTCATGAAATTCTTAGGCAACTGGATGGAACTAGAAAGTATCATCCTGAGTGAGGTAAGCCAATCACAAAAGAACACACATGATATGCACTCACTGGTAAGTGGATATCAGCCCGAAATCTTGGAATACCCAAGATACAACTTACAGACCACATGAAGCTCACGAAGAAGGAAGACTAAAGTATGGGTGCTTCAGTCCTTCTTAGAAGGAGTAACAAAATACTCAAGGGAGCAAATATGGAGACAAAGTGTGGGACAGAAACTGAAGGAGGGGCTGTCTGGAGACTGTTCAACCTGGGTATCCATCCCATGTGCAGACACTGATATTGATGCCAGGAAGTGCATGCTGACAAGAGCCTGATATAGCTGTCTCCTTAGAGGTCTGCCAGAGCCTGACATATACAAAGGCAGATGCTCATAGCTAACCATTGAACTGATCATGGGGTTCCCAATGGAGGAGTTAGAGAGAAAAACTGAAGGAGATGAAAGGGTTTGCAGCCCCATGGGGAGAACAACAATCCTGACCAACCAGAGTTCCCAGGGTCTAAACCACCAGCCTAGGAGCACTTAGGGAGGTATCCATGGCTCCAATCATATATGTAGAGGAGGATGGCCCTGTCAGGCATAGATGGGAGAGAAGGTCCTTGGTCCCGTGAAGGCTGGATGACCCAGTGTGGGGGAATTCGAGGGTGGGAGGTAGGAACTGGTGGGTGGGTGGGGGCACAACCTCATACAAGCAGGGGGAGGCGGACGGCACAGGGGGTTTCTGATTGGGGGGGCAGAAATAGGGAAAGGGGATAACATCCAAAATGTAAATAAAATATCCAATAAAAAAATCTTTCTTACTCGAGATTTATTAACTGTATATTTTATAGACTTTAGGAGTGTCACTTTAGCTCACTTAGGAAAGGGCTTGACTAGCATTCCAGCACCAGATAAAGCTAGATGCAATGGCTCACACATGTAATCCTAGTACTTGGGAGGTAGAGACAAGAGGGTCAAAAGGTCAAGGACAACCTGGGTTATAGGAGACAGTTTTCAAGGGCCTGTCTCTTACAGGCATCATTAATTAATTAATTAATTAAGGTCTAGTTTTATTTTCTTCTAATCTTGTTTTCCTGCATATGCTATGAAACATTTGTCTGTTCTCCATTGACTTGTGAAGAAATTTCATTCCCACTGAAAGATCTAAGCAAGGTAAGGTAAAGAGATAGGAAATCAAGGGGAAAATAAAGGAAGAAGCAGGTCCATTTGTAGAACTTTAGCTAGGGAAGGGCACTGAAGAAAAGATGCTAGGATCAAGTTCCTGTGTACCCACCCCATTTACAAAAGTACTTAAGAATCAACAGCAAGCAGGAAGGCATCATGGCTCTGTAATTCTAGCAAGACACACACTGAAGGGGGGGTTGGGGGGGGCAGGTGAGCTCAGCTAGGCTACACTGCAACTCTGTCTCAAACAAAACCCAACGAGAAAGTGAGAGAACTGTAAGTGACGATGTCTCCCAACTGCAAGACACACTGTGCTATGTTCCCTAACACCTCGCTAGACGAACATCCAGAGGGTACAACAAAGCAGTGGTTAGATCCTAATAGGACTATAAATGGCAATCTTGCAGGTGACTCTGAAACATGTCTTTTTAAGAAATGAAATCAGATATTTAAACATGAATCTGTAAAATATATAGTTGTGCTGACTAGTTTTATATCAACTTGAGACAAGCAACAGTAGTTTTAAATGAGGGAACCTCAACTGAGAACATGTACCCACCAGACTGGCCTGTGGGCAAGCCTGTGGTACTTCTTTTCTTGACTGATGTTTGATGTGGACTATGGGTGGTGCCACCCTAGATTTGTGGTCCTAAGTGATACAAGAAAGTATGCTGGGCAAGCCATGAGGAGCAAGCCAATAAGCAGCACCCTCCATGGTATCTGCTTCAGCTCCTCCATGGTGTCTGCCTCAGCTCCTGCTCCAGGTTCCTGCCTGGAGTTGCTGCCCTGACTTTCTTCAGTGATGGACTGCTACCTGGAAGAACAAGAAGAGATAAACATGTTCCTTCCAAAGTTGCCTTTGGTCATGGTGTTTCATCACAACAACAGAAACCCGAAAAAGTAAACTGTCCTCCAACTTACAAAAAAAAAAAAAAAAAGAAAGAAGGAAGGAAGGAAGGAAGGAAGGAAGGAAGGAAGGAAGGAAAGAAAAGAAAAGAAAAGAAAAAAAATTCTGGGGCTGGAGAGATGGCTCAGCAGTTAAGAGTGAGATCAATTCCCAGCAACCACATGGTGGAACAATCTATACTGGGATCTGATGCCCTCTTCTGGCATGCAGGCATACATGCAGATAGAGCACTCATATACATAAAATAAATGAAATCTTTTTTAAAAATCCAAAAACATACCTTTTGTTTTCAGCCAACTGAGCCCCTTCATCCTTCAGCTGTTTGCTCCTCTGCTTACAGCTCTCCTGCAGGGTTTCCTTCCTCCGCTTGCTGGCGTGAAGCCAGTTCCCATCCTCATTCTCAGCTGCATCTTTCTCATCAGCTGCTTCTGCTTCAAACTGCTGAGACGTGGCCTTGGATACCTTCTCACCAATTTTCCTCTTCCACCCAAAGGAAGCCATTCTGAAAAATTTCAGAAACATAAACTGCTATGAACGTATTCTAATGAGCAGGCAGACACAGACTACCAGAAGGAGACTACAGCCTCTTAGCGCCTACTTGAGGACTGAGGGAATAATCACCAAGGACTACTAATTTCAAAGGTGACATCTGGACACTACTGCTAACCTCACCTCCTAATGGGAGTGCTGTGCTCTTGCAGACTATCCCTGAATCCCAACAGGCCTCTGCCAATTCATACAAAACACATGATATGGTGACGCTTGCTCAAAAACACATCAGATGTGGGTAAGAGGAAGCAGACAGTGAAGAAAAACAAAACAAGAAATGAACAAGTGGGAGAAGGGACAGGAAGCCGGGAAAGAAAGGTGGCAACCCTTAGGTTAAGAGAGGAACGAGACAGCTGAGCCTAGTGTGAATATCCTCTTTCTCTCCTAACTTTAAAACAACACTGAAAGGACATTTAGGAAAGACTAAATCTCAATGCAGACTAGACATCCGACAGTACGAGTAAGCCGCTCCTGGATTTTAGTTGTCTTAATAATAGTAGGATTGAACTTCAAAAAACCTTTTCCTTTAAGAACAGCAATGTATTTGCTATAAAACTATATGACACCTAGAAATTCTTTCAAAGTCACTAACGGTAAGAAATGGCATGGAGCAGGTGACAGATCACTTCAGAAGTCACGGAGGAAGTCGGGAGACAAGCATCGACAACTCATTGCTCCTCTCCTTTCAAAAATATTGAAATTCTCTTTGATACAGTTTTTCATGCTTTGAGTGTTTTCCGTTGTCTTTTTGAAAAAGGACCCACAATATATACACCTGTCCTGAAACTCAGAATTATAGCTCAGGGTGGACTCTAACTCATTATCCTCCTACCTCAGCCTCCCATATGCTAAAATTACAACTGTGTGCCACTATATCTGACTACAGGAGAGGTTTAGAAGGTTTAAATACTTAATGACTCAACAAAACTATTGGGAACATTAAATATGTACATAATGGCTTTGCAAGCCTAGCATTTGTGAACATTAAGGAAAAGGAAGAGAGTAGCTGACAGGACAGGTGGACACTGGAAGTCTTCAATTGTACTTAGCAATAGGACTAACTAGGAAACCCAGTCACTCACAAGCTACACAGCTGGGCTTTAAGATACACGAGAATCCCTACAACTGGGTATAAAGATCTTAGATGCTGTGTGCATTCAGGAGCATGTAAGACTTTATCCAGTCTTAGAGGAGACTGTAACCCTAAGGAGAAAGCAATGAACTCAGGTCTTTTTGCAATTATCAAACAACAGGCACTATGAGAGGGAGGGAGGAGGGAAGACAGCTGTAAGAGTCTGGCAATACCAAGGTGTCCATCACTGATGCCCATGGCTGCAGTGGAGTACAAGTAACAGGAAGAAAACAGCAACAACGTGAGGGTAGCTATCAGTCACCCCCACAGACAACCCAAGGTTCTACCAGAATTGAGGGATTATAGGCCACAGGCCTGTCACTGACCAAGAGAAAATGTAATAGGTCACAGCAATCACAGAGTACATAGGCTGATGCAGGCAAACCACGTGTTCTCCAGAAAGCAATGAGTTTTGGGAAATCCTGGGTACATAATGGAGTATAAACTGCACTAGGGAATGAGGGCTTTGGAAGCTTCCTCCTTGGCCTCATCACAACATGGGGAAATGTACTTCCTCTGTCTGAAAAATCACTTTATATATCTCCATCCTGGGGGAAACAAGGAGATGTGTAACAATGGAAGTGTGGCTACTGTGGATCACAAATCCAGAGGCACAGAGTGAACACAGTCTGGGAAAATGAATGCTTAGAATGCCTTCAAAGGATACTAGAATACAGGAGAGGAGGAGGAAGAGGTGGTGGTGGCTCTATTGTACTTACGGCTCTCCCTAAAGGTAATGAGAAAGTGGAACTTGCTTTTGCTTTCTACACTACCAATGTGGGGCACCAGACAGTGTAATAGATCAATTAATGACAGGAAACCTGCTGTGTTTACTGAAGGCAATTTCATTTTAAATCACGGGTCAAATCTGTCAGTAGAAGGGAAAGGATGACGCCAAGAACAATGAGAAAACCAAAGTTAGCAAATCACTGAGATCCCTACGACCCTCCCCATCTCCCAAGCCACTGTTGTTAAGCGCTGAGGACAGACGTGGGTTAAGTCCCACAGGGTGGCTCTTTGCCACACACCACCGCCTCCATGGCATGTGTCCTTCCCCACCTCAGACACCTTGCAATTCGAGGCTATAGGGATCAAAGAGGAATGGGGCTGTGAGAGTGCAGAGGCAGAGACCATCAGACATTGACAAGTTCCAACTCCAAGAGGGCGCGACAAGAAGACATTTGTGAAGCTCAGGAGCAGAGTCCAAACAAAGTTAGGGATTTCATGTCCCCAAATTTCACATTACTCTAGGAGGTAAGTTGTATCCATCTACTCAACATAAGGGAAAACAAATAAATAAATGTATACATCCAAGAAAGAGGGGAAGGGACCTAACACATGTCCTTGTAGAAATTAGAAAAGACATATTAATGAAGAAACAGCAAGCAGCATAAAGGGCCTACTAAGGTGAAAAAGCAGGAATGTGTTACCAGGACAATACCAAGTTTATATTTTCTCCCAAACTTCCTGTAGACAAGGAAGCTGAATTCAGTTACAACAGAGGTAAGCGCTACTAAGCGTGATCCAATGACCTGTCAGACAACGCACAGTAGGGTCTTCATGAAAGTGAACTTTAAAGAACAAAAGTTGACCAGGTTTGAAGGAGGGAAGAATCCTGGCATATGTGACCATCTTCCCCAAGGAAAATGTAATCCTCTGACTTGATTCTGAATCTTAAATGCTGCTGGGAAGAAAATACAGACAACTGTCAATTAATGATTCTGGGCTCCTCTTTTCAGTTATTAAAACGTCCTAAAATCAATTGGCATGATGGCACAATTTCGTGAACAGCAATAAGGGCTACCGAATCCTACAATCTATATGGAGGAATTGTATAACACGCCACTCACACCTCAACTAAACTGTTTCCATCTTACGTTATGAGCGTCTTGTGCCTCTAGGTTGTGTTTTTAATTATGTAATCACTAAAACCGCTTACAGAAAGGAGCTTTGGTTGATCTCTACTTGGATGGGTAAGGCGACAAGCTTCTAAACACTGCCCACCGGGATAACACATCAAGTGAGTAAATCACAACTGTTCAGGTTTCGGGTTAACTCTCATCTGAAATTAAAGTCTACATGCTCTACAGAACTGATGAGAGGCATTAAAATTCTAAACAATGACACCTGTATTCTAAAACCACGTACAACGATCTCCACAACAATCGCTCAACTTGACACTTTCCCCGGCCACAAGCTGAGTGCTTGCGACAGAGTAAACGTCCTCTTCAACTGACTGCGTGAGAGGATGCGGCACCCAAGATGGAAAAACACCGGCAGGAGGTAGAGAATCCCTACAACCCTCCGAAAAGGAGAGATGAATCCGGAGGTGAAGAATTAGAGACACGGATTCCCACAAAATGCTACCAAAGGAGAATCCAGTATTCAAAACTGCGCCCCTGCCTCGGCTGCAATAAAAATGAACTCCCGAAAAGCAGCTCAAGCCGCCGGGCCAACATACGGAGCCCTTCCCCGGAGCCCCGTGCCCAGGACAGAGACACGCCTGAGGGCTCTGTGGACCTCACCGGGGCACCCTCGCCCCTCTCTCCCGCACGCAGCACCCTCACCCCTTGCTACCCTCTCCTCTGTCGTCTACCGCCAACCCGCAGCCAGTTACCTGAAAGCCACTTCGTGGAGCCGTGTTTACATTCCACTTGACCTTTGGCACCGGAAGCGGAAATTATCCTGTCGGGATTCTAATCTGCCTTGCCTGCCTGTGCTTCCTAATTCTTTATTTAAAAAAACAAAACAAAACACGTAATCATCCTGGGACGATCTCTTCTGTCCAGCAAAGCAGACAGAAGAAAAGACTTTCTTGCCCGCCAGCGCCCTTCTACAAGACCACTAATCCCAGAAGTCACTGCGGCGACCTAGGAACTATGGGATTTGTAGTAAGGACACAAAACCGAAGCGCCCTCTAACTGCAGCCGGGAGTGGAGAACTAGCCGGGCTGGAGAACTAGAGCCATGCAGCTGTGCTTTACAATACACACAGTCTTCAGTTCAATGGCTTACAGCCTAGTCTAGACAGGCCCAGCTGCTGAGGGTCCGTAAGATGCAGAAGAGGGAAAAAAAAACAGCTGAAATAAGTGCGAAGGGGAGCTGTACTGGTTTGTTTGTTTGTTTGTTTGTTTTTTGTCAACTTGACAGAAACATAGACGTAGCTATGAGAGTGAAAATCTTAATTGAGAAAATGCCTCTATAAGGTTTACCTATAAATCTATGAGGGCATTGTCTTGATTAATGATTGATGTGGGAGGACCCAACCCATTATAGGCTGTGCCAACACCTAGGCAGGTGTCTGGCCATTTAAGGAAGCAAACTGAGCAAGACTAAAGTACCAATTACTGCCCTGCTTTGAGTTCCTACCTTGATTTCCTTCTATAATGTGGAACTAGAAGCTGATATTAACCCTTTCCTCCCCAAGTTCACTTTAGTCATGGTGTTTTATCCCAGCAACAGAAACCTTAACTTAGAGCTAGCTGATCAGGGAGGATCGGGCTAAACTGCAAGCTTCCTGTGGGAATCCACAACAGAGCCTGAAAGTAGCAACTGTCACTTCTTACAAGTAAATTTTCAGGCAGATGTTAACACGAGTACACATTAAGGAAATTGAAAACTCGTTTAAGTTTCTTCACATAGCTGTGCTACACAAAGCAAGACCAATTTATGGAGACCATGCTTATTCAATTCACCACAGCATTTCTTTTTTTCTTTTCTTTTTCTTTTTTTATTGGATATTTTACTTACATTTCAGATGTTATCCCCTTATCCCATTGCCACCCCCCGCCCGCCCACCCAGGAACCCCCTAACCCACCACCCCTCCTCCTGCCCTGCTTCTCTGCGGATGTGTCCCTACCTACCCCCCTCACTCCCACCTCCCCACCCTCGAATTCCCACACACACAGCGTCCAGCCTTCATGGGACCAAGGATCTCCTCTCCCACCTATGCCTGACAGGGCCATCCTCCCTTACATATACAGCTGGAGCCATGGATCCCTCCCTAAGTGCTCCTGGTAGTTTACACCTTGGGAGCTCTGGTTGGTTGGTATTGTTGCTCTCCCCATGGCGCCGCAAACCTTTTCAGCTACTTCAGTCTTCTAACTCCTCCATTGGGAACTCCTTGATCAGTTCAATGGTTAGCTGTGAGCATCTGCCTCTGAATATGTCAAACTCTGGCAGATTTCTAAGGACACAGCTATGTCAGGCTCCTGTCAGCATGCACTTCCTGACTTACATCAAAGGAAGTCACATCAGTGTCTACCTTTGGTGACTGCACATGGGATGGATACTCAGGTGGAATGGTCTCCAGATGGCCCCTCCTTCAGTCTCTGTCCCATGCTTTGTCTCCATATTTGCTCCCTTGAGTATTTTGTTACTCCTTCTAAGAAGGACCGAAGCACCCTCACCTGGTCTTCCTTCTTCATGAGCTTCACATAGTCTGTGAGTTGAATCTTGGGTATTTCAAGCTTCTGGGCTAATATCCAATAATCAATGAGTGAATACCATGTGTGTTCTTTTGTGATTGGGTTACCTCACTCAGGATGATATTTTCTAGTTCCATCCATTTAGCTAAGAATTTCTCGAATTCATTCGGTTGTTTGTTTGTTTGTTTTGTTTTTTCGAGACAGGGTTTCTCTGTGTAGCCCTGGCTGTCCTGGAACTCACTCTGTAGACCAGGCTGGCCTCGAACTCAGAAATCCACCTGCCTCTGCCTCCCAAGTGCTGGGATTAAATGCATGTGCCACCACTGCCCAGCTGAATTCATTGTTTTTAATAGCTGAGTAATACTCCATTGTGTAAATGTACCACATTTTCTGTATCCATTCCTCTGTTGAAGGACATATGGGTTCTTTCCAGCTTCTAGCTATTATAAATAAGGCTGCTATGAACATAGTGGATCATATGTCCTTGTTATATGTTAGAGCATCTTCTAGAACCACAGCATTTCTTACTGGCTAGTTATTTGTTAAGGTAAACCGATAAGTTATTTCTCCGCTAGTAAAATGAGCCAATTCAAGCCAGATTAAAATATATACAAATGCAGGTTAATTGAGAAGCTGCTCTCAGGTGGCCCAGTTCACTGGCCCTAAGAAAGGAGGCCAGAGAGGAGGAAGAGAGGAGAAGAGAAAGAAAAAGAGAGAAAGCGCTTAGGCAGAGAGAAGGGCGGGGGAGAAAACAAAATGTCTGGGTTATATAGCAAAGATCCTATGAGGGAAGGGTGTCCAGGCCCTGTGCTGGAAATTCAGGGTTGGGGTGGGGGAGGGGCAGTATATACTAGGTAGGGACTGAGGGATGCTGGGAAAACCTGGAGGCCAGGTCTGTAAAATATGCACTTAAGCTGTTTGTTCCTGGGTCTGAAACCCAACAGAAACATGGTAGGATACTGAGATACCATTAGTAACACCCCCTCACACGCATGTTTCTCTCCAAAATGTCAAATATTCCCTGGAAGAAAACTCTTACCCAACACTGCCATTAAAGTCACTGATCCTGGCCCAGAGCGATGGCTTACTGCTCCTGTAGAGGATCTGGTTTCAGCGCCTACACTCAGCACTGAGACTCAAAACTATCTGTAACTCTAGTTACAGGGAAACTGTTGCCCTCTTCTGGCATCCACGGACACCAAGCATTAGCGGCCCTTCCATACCCCAAATTCATACATATTGCCATTTTTCACGAAAGTGAACATTGGTACTGGCTGTCAAAACACTACAGTGATAGAACCGCCATGTTGATTTGAGATAATATTGGCAAACTTCTAATGGTAGTGATGTAGTCCTCTATCACATTCCTACAGTAAAACTCTGGAGTACCAGTTTCTTCTGAGGTGAGACCTGGCTATATTACCTGGCAAGACTCCCAATTTCCAGGCTCACTTTAATTAGCCAAATATCACTGCTTCCTTCATCAAGGGTATTTCTAAATGATGGCATTCATTTTTCTACGTTACCAAGTGCCTTTGCTGCTACTGAAGTGTGATGTCTCTCAGAAGTGAGTGAAGATTCCATTAGGAGGGCTGTACAGAGTTCAGCAGTTAAGAGCACTGGCTCCTGCCTAAGGACCAAAGTTCAGTTCCCAACACCAACATCTGGCAACTCACAGCCTCCGTGTAATTACAGCTCTGGGAGTTTCCAACACCGCATTCTGGCCTCTGCAAGTGCCTGCACATACACACACATACACATCCTAAAGAATAAAATCCTTTTTTCCTCTTTTTTTAATGAATGAATATGAGTACATTGTAGCTGTCTTCAGACACAGCAGAAGAGGGCATCAGATCCCTTTAGAGATGGCTGTAAGCCACCAAGTGGTTGCTGGGAATTAAACTCAGGACCTCTGGAAGAGCACTCAGTGCCATCTCTCCAGACTCAATAAAGCCAGTTCTTTAAGGCTATTATAAAGTTCCACTCTCTTGTGGAACATAACTGGGTTTTTTTTTTGTTTTGTTTTTTGTTGTTGTTTGTTTTTGAGTTTTCAAGACCGGGTTTCTCTGTGTAAGCCTGGCTGTCCTGGAACTCACTCTGTAGCCCAGGCTGGCCTCGAACTCAGAAATCCACCTCCCTCTGCCTCTCAAGTGCTGGGATCAAAGGCGTGCTCCACCACTGCCCGACACAACTGTTTTTTTTTGAACCACTGACAAACTGATTATTCATATTTAGGTCTTTGACCTTTTCTTGAAATGAACAAAGCAAGGAGCTTGTGAAATGACTCAGCCGGTAAGGATCCTTGCTGCTGAGCCTCGTGACAGTTCTGTCCCCAGAAACTACTGGTTGGAGAGACAGTTGTCATCTGGCCTCCATACGTGTGCTATGGCATGCAAACACTCATACACACACACACACACACACACACACACTCAATTTTTATTAGACAAGAACCTTGTTTAAAGAAAAACAGTTGACAATGTCTGTTACCAATGACAAAATTATACACCTTACATAATAATCTTGGCAGCTTCCCAGAGACTTTGAGATCAATGGTGACTTCAGATTCAATTTGTATTTATATTTTGATTACATTCATTAATATTTGTAGGAGTTGCCAGTTGAAGAGTTGAAGTAAATCAGTATATTCAAAATAACCAATGCATGGCTGTGGTAGCCAGCCTCTAAAATGGACTTCAGTGTTACCCTTGGTGTTCACACCTCTGTGAAGGTCTTCCCATGTCCGAGTTGGTCTGTGGCACCTCACACACATATTAATCATAATGGACATTCTGGTGGAGACAATGTTCCTCAAGATGAATGGACATTCATGTGATCGGTCACATTTACTACAACTCTGAAACACTTGAGTTATCTACTCAGTCCATACTTACATTTTTGTACTTTAATGTCTGTGTATCTCCATCCATCCCAAATAAGATGGTTGGAGCAGGACCTGTATCTTCCTGTCCTGGTGACATCTGTCATGATTGCTTCACAGTAGCCATGTGAATGAATCATAGTGCCAGAGGCTTTGTTCCTCTTCCCAGTCTCTCAGGGTAGCTTAACTACGATGCCCTCTCCTCTGTACAGACTTGGCAATGTCTTCCAAGTCACTGAACAGCCTTTAAATATTTGGCACCGTTTCTTGTGTAAACTTGTAGAGAAGGTTTAGAAAAGTGAGCTCTCCAAAAGAACTTTACATGCTGTTCATAATGTCTCTAATGCAGCTTTTCTGATTAAATATTTAGAAAGCTAGCAATCCAGCAAGAGCCTCAAGAATCTAGAATGAGTTCTAGATTTAATAGTGACTGAATTCTAGCAATGATGGGATTCAAGTCCTGTGTTTGTGATTGGTCTGTGACGGCTGCTTCAGCTTTTACTGTCTGCATCTTAATATTCTGTTTACATGGATGATATCTAGAGGAAATATATACAATTTTATCAGAGACAAAAAAAATCAGTGTGTTGAGTATGAAAATATAACCAAGCACTATTTTATATTTTAGTACATTAAAGAATCCAGATACTCAGTGATGAACAAGTGCCTCCACCACCACCCCAAACCTTGATTAAATAAGAAGGACGGTGTAACGGGGAAAAAATGAATTTTTTTTCTTTATTATGCCAGCTTTCTAAATCAGGTTACTCTGGGCAAACATACATAAACCACAATGATTGACTCCTCCCAACAACCGGCTTACAGTTAGGCCGTGTGTAGAATTTCATTCATCATGTCTGAGCCTGCAGTGAACAGGTGGAGGGGGAGGAGTTAAGAAGAAGAATTTAGACAACATGGTTGGTTTTCCCAAGATGCCACTTGGAATACGTATCTTACTCACCCAGCCATATTAGTTCATTTCTGAATGATATCAAAGATCCAAAGCACGGGGAAAGGTAGGGAGAGAATTCATATAAAATTATCTAAAACTCCAAAACACTACAAAAGCATTTTAAGAAAAAATAGAATCAAAGTAAAAGCAATGGTGTTTATTTCAATGAAATTATTTTAAATTAGATATATTAAGCTCTCGAGTCTCCCAACTTGGTAGAAAAGTTCCTTTCATGAAAAATCAACTTTAATGGCAAAATTTTTACATATCCGCAAAATCTGTTATATTTAAAACTATGTATACAGTACTTTTCTGGCAAAAACATCATACAGCTTTCAGTTGTCAAGACTAAGTAAAAATATGGTTGCATAAAATCACAAAAAAAAATATAAATTGCTGAAAAGATAATTTAAAAAAAAGATTAAAAAATCATTTGCATTGACTCCGCTTACATTTTCAGTATAAGAATTTGCAAACTACAATACATTTGTGAAAATTCTGTCCCGGGCTTGACATACTTAACTGAAAGTTATCGTTTCAGATATCCTAGCTTTAAAAAAAAAAAAAATTGACTGCAATAGTCTGCATTTATCATACTATTTATACAAGTGCAATATTTAAATATCTTCAAAATAAAACTTGGTAACTAAAAGGAATCACAGAATAACTTATAAAAGAAGCAAAGTTTACAAAATTAACAAATTTTAGAAGGTCCTATTTAATTGGCTCCTCCTTTTGTGGCCCGTTCCCCCCCCAACAGTTTATAGATATTACTTAGTGCTATTTACAAATCTGTAACTTTACAAACGCAGCCTTCTGTTCTACGCGTTGGGAACACAGCGCTGCATTCGGACAGCATAAGTGACATCTGGGAGCCCCACGCAGAGGGCACACACACAGGTATAAATACAGTTTTGAACTCATGGAAATGGAGTCTCCATTACTTTATACAGCATTCAAATCAGAGTTGAATAAAACAAGCCCCGAACAAAAAGAAGCGTTATTTTTGTCCGGAAATCAGTGCATAAACTATAGCGTAATCTTTTATGCAAGCTATCGTGTCCTCCAAATGCATTCCCATCTGGTTACATAAATGCTGGACAGATTTGGAAATGGGACAAAATATTTCTAAGTGAATGCAGTGGGGGGAAAGTCTCTTACCAAGGGGAGATGATTAATGTTTAAAGAAAATGCATTTTCACATTGCTGGAGATCACTCAGCCTCACCTGAGCTAGAGCCTCTGACCAATTTCCTAAACTTAAAGGAAACCAAATATGGCCAATAGGAAACTATTAGCTCCTACAATACCAGCTTTGCCTTGCGTGACTTTAAATCTTCACTTACACCTATTACGCTATGCTATCAATAAAAGAGGAGAGAGGCATACAAATCAGAGATCAAGAAAGATCGAACTTCTTTAGCCATTCATTTTTTTTAATTAAAACCTGAAATAAACTTGACCATTTTGAAGAAAGGATTTCTTCTACTTCTTTTCAAAACAGTGTTATTAACCTGATTAAAGAACTACAAATGAAATCAGGCCATAATTTAAATGGGATTCTGGGCAGTTACAGCTAAATCTGGAAGACCAGGCACTATCTGGAAATTATTGATTGTATAATGGATTCAGGAGGTTTTTAAAGGACATTATCATTATGTTTAGGAGATGTTGAAGTATTTAGGACTGATACATGTATCTTAACATCTCAATGGCTCAGAATAAAAGCAAACATACACACAGGTATATGTGCATATCTGTATTTTATACATGTGTGGATACAGAGAGCAAATATGGCCAAACAGTGGCCATGGGAGCTAAGCAGTAGATACACATGCAGTCACTCTATTCTTTCAACTTTTCTTTCTTTAAAAATTGTTCAGAATAAAATCAGGGGCTAAAAACCCAATCTTAGTATTCAGAGCTTATATACGATATCCTTTCTATGCACTGGATTGACTTTAAAAATACACAATCAAATGACATTCAATCCTGGCTGACATGGCAGCATGTCTGTGCACTGACAGAAGCAACATGATTCAGTACAGTGTGAGCAAGTCAGCTCTTGGATCCGAAGCAGCACTTCATATACAAAACTTAAGGGGGAAATCTGTGAAAGTAAACTGAAGGCTTGCAAGGTCTGAACACATAAATTCTGGGGGCTTGGGGGCTTACAAGCCAAAGAAAGACTTTAAATTCAGACTGTTATCTGACATGACTTACTACACAAAAATAGCATTTTAAGAGGAATAGGGAAATAGTTCACAATGTTACCAAAAATGGGAACTAGTAGCTATTTTGGAAGTTAAGGAGCCCAGAAAACAGCATCGCCTAATAAGGTCTATGGGGATTCTAGGCAAACTCAACAAATTCATGAAGCTAATATAAAACACAGCAGCATGTACTAATATGTAAAGGCTTTATGGTAAATTTATAGTCAACAGAGACCTGTTACAGCAAATTCAAATGGCCAAAAAGCAAGTGAGCCTGAAACCTACAATCCATTGTGTGTCTATTATGCTGTGTGGACCTACCGAATAAGGGATAACAGAATGATCCTGATTCATTTTCCAGTCCCTGTGCAAACTGCATTCCGAAAGGCCAATCCTTAGTTATATAAACACATATATAACTCGGTAAAATGGAAGTATTTGGCTATTATTTAGTATGCATGCTTATTGCATCAAAGAAATAAGCAAAGTTTTAGGTTTACTGTGCAAGAATTTTAATTAGATTTGCACACATCTCAAAAAATTCTATTGTGTGACTTCCTGGTCTTGAAGCTACGTCAACGGGAGAGGAGTCGAGGGAGGTCACAGATGAGGTAAGAGAGACTTCTGAGGGCTTTCCTTGAGCCTCGGCATCGGAGTCACTCCTTTGGCAAGATCTATAGTTGCTGATGGATCCCGATCTCTGCGGAGTAGCAGTCCCTGATTTGGCTTCTGTAATTTCATCTGGGTGGAGAGAATTTCAATGCTTTATTATCCACTTCTCCCTCAAGTGTTTAACCAACACCTAAGTGAGACTACTAGCCAGCTCTCCAGAGCATGTTGATTTTACATAAATTCTCACATGGAGCAAGTGTGCCTGTGTTAAGTCCCTTACCACTTTTACACACAGCATGAAGACTGCATACAATGATCAGTCAATACTGGGTATGCAATATAGTACTCCAACTAAGAACCAGCAAACTAATTACCTGGGTTTTAATAAATATCTCCTAGCAATAATAGTAATTAAAATCACAGACTCACGGGGTAGTGGCAAGCATGCCTATAATTCCCATCACTCAGGAGGCAGAGGCAACTCTGTGAGTTCAAGGCCAGCCTGGTCTACAGAGTAAGTTCCAGGACAACCAGGACTACACAGGGAAACCCTATCTCAAAAACAAAGCAAAACAAAAAATTTATAATTGATCACCTATAATATGGAAGGTATCTTAGAACTTATCTCACCCAGGAATGGTTTTACGGATATAAGCAGCCAGAGGAGTTGAGGGATTTGTCCAAGGAACCAAATAGACAGTAAGCTCCCGCCACTCAAGCTCCCGCCACTCAAGCTCCCGCCTCCGCCACTGAAGCACTCTTCCCTCCCCACTGCAAGTCAGTGCTCTTACCCTGCAGTTTCTCAAATGTCACTTAGAGCATAAGCAAAATACATACACATACACACACACAGACACACACACACACACACACACACACACAAACAAACCCTATATATGTTTAAAGATTTTACAGAATAGTCATTTTCTACCTAGGGAGAAACAGGGATGGTGACTGAAGCCAGTGAGGCAAGGACTTCAACACTGAACTAAATCCCTAGCCCCAAGCTGATAATCTATAAAACAGATACGACATGGAGCCAGAACAACAGGTTTCACAAATGTCAGTCTTGCAGAACATAGGAAGTCATGCTTCCTACTGAATTAGGAGGAAAAGGCCAGGAAGCTTCATAAGACACAGTTGAGATGGAGAGGGCAGGCAGTGAGGAGGATGGTAAGGACAGAGGCCATGTATGACTGGGGGCTGGGGAGAAGGCTCAGTAGATAAAGAGACTGTTGCACAGCACACGGACCCTGATGCTGATCCCAGACCCATGTCAAAGCCAGGCCCGCAAGGGCACACCTATAACGCCAACACTGGAAGTCAGAAATGAAAGGATCCCTGGAGCTTGCTAGTAAGTGTCCCCGGAAGGGCAACCTCCTGTGACCCTGTCTTCAAAGTAAGATGGAAGGTGAAGGAGGAAGGGAGCCTCTGCACCCCCTCTCATCTGTTCCAAGACACATGCAGAGGGAGGGTGGGAGGGAAGGTGGGAGGGAGGGTGGGAGGGAAGGTGGGAGGGAGGCGAGGGGAGGAAGCGATAAAAATAGGGAAGGGAAAAAGATAGAGAGGAAGGGAGAAGGTGCCATACTGAAACTTACTACTTTGCATGCTTAGATTTTATTTAAAAATAAATAAATAAATAAAGACTATAAACCAAATTAGGTAACCAGGCTTCCACAATTTTGTGAATACATACCATCAATACTACGAAAATCCAATAAGTAAGTTCTACTATCCACTTGGTATAGCTGTAGACTCATTTTGGAAAATGTGCTTGTCACAGGATTCTTCCTTCGTACACGCAAATAATAGGGGTTTACAACCTAGCATTTGATATGGAGAAAAACAAAGGCAAATCACATCATTTCTTCTACAAGGACTTTTGTCTACAGGCTCGCCAAATGTGGTAGAGAGCTTGCCCTTCTTACCTTCCATTCATAATCCAACTGCTTGATTGCTCTACACACTTCTGCCATGATGTCATTGGGTCGGCTTTGACTTCGAATTCCCAAATGCCACTTTGCCTTCCGTACACCTTGGTGTTTGGATTTCTGCGGGTTTAATTCATCCAGGGTGTGCCGGGCCCTTGGTGTTTCGGCAACCAAGAATGGTACTCTTTCAGGGTGAGGCCGAGTTAAATGGTGATCATCGAGGAAAGAGTCGGGTGGGCTTGTCGCCAAGTAGAAATCTTTGGCTTCGTTCATTATTCTCCTGTTGTCTATTATGAGGTGGTAGGCAACTGCCAGTGGGTCCTGGTGGTTTCTGTTGTACAAGCAGCTGAGGACCTCCTCCTCTGAGCACTCGAACTTCTCACACACTTCCTTTAAGGCTTCGTCATCAATCATGGTTGAACTATAAGACGGGTCCTCAGGAAAGAGATACTTCGGAAGGTCCTGTTTAAACCACTCATGTTCCCTAAGAGAGACAGCAATGTTGGAAGAAGGGTTTTCAGTAAAACCAGGAATAAAAGTTAAGAGTTTCAAGAGATTATTAGGTTATGAGTTAATACTCGTGCTACATTACTATAGTTGTTCTCTTTAAACTGTTTTTCTCTTCTAGTTCATACTTCATTGAATATGCTAAGAAAAACAGAGTCTGCCACTAATTTTTTATTTATGTAGTTTTATGTGTATGAGTATTTTGTCTGTATGTATAATCTGCACACCATAAGAAGGCATTAGATCCCAAGGAACTACAATTATAAATGGGTGTGAACCACCATGTGGGTGCTAGGAATTAAACTCAGGGCCTCTGGAAGAGCAGCCAGTGTTCTTAACCACTGAGCCATCCCTCCAGTCCCCTGCCATTAATTGTTGAGGATCAAGGCAGCCAAATGAAAAGGTATGTATGTCTACCCAAATGACAATGACGGAGTACAGCCTCATTCCAGCTCAGAAAGACATTGTGTTGTGTGGCTTCACTGTTCACACTGTCCCACGTCACAGGAAAAATACTTACTAACAAACACAGCGAACAATGTCCTATAGGTTCTTACTGCATGCTTAGTTTCATGATAAACAATTCATCCCTGTAAAATCTATCCTCATCCTTACAAGCCAGTTGTATGTGCCTCAAAAGACTATCCTCTGAACAATTTCATATTATGTTCATTAGTTGTATATATAAAAGGATATGGAACCATAACAAGAACGATGCTAAAACTTAAAATAACAAACAAACAAACAAAAACAAAGCAAGCACTGAAAAGAATAATGGATTTTTAAGGGTATCTGTTTATTTCCAACTGGTGACTGGTTTTTTGAGACTAGATCCTCACTATGTAGCCCAGGCTGGAACCAAACTCACTGTCATACTCTTTCAGCTTCTCAGGTACTGGGATCATGGGTGTGTGCCACCTTGTACAGCATTTTCTATCACATTTGAATTATGAAAAATACCGAAGACATGTGTGAATATACTTCTCACTTAGATATTGCATAATATCAATTTAATAGAATGAGTTTCCTTTCCCATCTGCTGTGCCCTGCCGCTTGGGGTCTCCTTTTCAGCAGGTCTTTTGTTTGGTTGGTTTTGTTTTTATTTTTTGAGACAGGGTCTCTCTCTCTCTACATAGCTCTCTGACTGTCCTAAACTCACTATGTAGACCAGGTTGGTTTTGAACTCACAGGGATCTCCCTGGCTCCACCTCCCAAGTGCTGGGATTAAAGGTGTGCACCCCCCATATCCAGCTTCAGCAGGACTTTTAGCATAAGGAGTGAGTGGCAAGGAATCCAGCTGAAAGTCCCATGTGCCCTAATGCTTTCGACTTATTACTCGTGTATGTGCAGCTTGTCTTTAGCTCTTTCCACTTCCAGTATCGGAAGAAATGTATACTCTAGCCATCAGAAGGTCAAAGAATTAAGGGAAACAAAGAGACATTGATGACAGACTAAGGTGACCAAGGAGTACTGAGTGTTCATGAACCGTGACTTACCTCAACCTGAGAAGCCTTACGGCCACCATCAGCCCAGCCCTATTTAAACTAGGCTAAACCGTAACACACAATGCAGCAATTTCTCAATACTCAGTTGAGCGCAATACTCAATTTCCTATGACTCAAAGTATATTGCTACAAGAAAAATATGTCATTAATAAAATGAAATTTTTCTCATATCTCTTGAGGAGTCAAAAAAGGTAGAAAAATACATTGGCTTTAAATTACCTCATCTTGCTGTGCAGAGGTGGTACCACACGCCTTTAATCCCAGTACTCAGGAGGCAGAGGCAGGCAGAGCCAGCCATGTCTATAAAGTGAGTTCCAGGACAGCCAAGGCTACACAGTCTCGATAGATAGATAGATAGATAGATAGATAGATAGATAGATAGATAGATAGATA